TTATTGCCAGCAAACAGCCTAGTGGAAGCCGTCGAAACAATCTCACAGCTAAAAAAACAGTGGGTGATGAAACATTCACAATTTTTAAAGCCACATATAACGACGTTAAAATTGGCAACCTCAACATTTCAAGTACCGGTCAGTTAATACACAAGAAAACTTGCAGGAAAATGGCTTAAATATTTCCAAATTTTCTGAGGGAGCATGCCCCCAGACACCCCCTCGCGCTGGCATTCCTACGACAACAGGTGGAGTGCAACGACAGAAACAGTGAAGCCCGTCAAGTACCTACATGAAGGAATTTTGGATTGCAGAATGTTGCTATTAAGTCGGGCCAACAAGATAATATCAAGACCCGAAGAGCTTCTCAAATTTATTGTTCAGTATGGAGATGACAGCGTCTTCCCCAATTTTCGCATTGCTAATCAGATAATGCTAACCATATCAGTCTCCATCGCCAGCTGTGAGAGATTGTAAACATCTGCGAAACACTAATATAGTAAGACCCCCCCGCCCCACCCCTAACAAGCAAACTTCAACCTTGGATTATAAAATAATTTTCTTTGAAGTTAAGAGATTGTTATTGTATCAGTAGCAGTGAAGACAAGTGTTGTTAAGCTTATAGTTGTTATTGTGGTTTATCGGTGAATTATAGACGCTTGCAAAGCTTGACCAAATAGAAGCATGGCATCAATGGTAAAAGTTCAATTCTCAGGATCGGATAAAAAAGAGTATGAGAAAGGAAGTAGAGAGAAGAGTTGCATGAAGTTAAGAAAATGCAATCCTTGGTGAAACAAAAAAGTAGAGAAGAGAAAGCAGCATATTCTGAAGCCATTAACAGTTCCCGCAAAACTCTGCAAGCCTCCATGGTAAAGACATTTCAGGTGTCGTCACGAAAAAAAGATAGCTTTACTCCATCAAAACTAGGTGAAATCTGGAGATTCTTTGAGACAGGCAACGGGTTAATTCAAGATCTCAGGAAGTTCATAGAGGCATACTCCAGCCTGTCAGACTCGGAGACCAAAGATATTAACATACAAGCAAAAAATATCTTTAAGTCATTCAGGTCCATCATTGGCAGATCTGAATGGATGCATGAGAGTTCAGTAAAATCAGAAATAGCAATGAAGCCGGCTAGAATCGCAAGAGTTAATGCGATTGTGGGAGAAATGGGGAAGCGACTTTCCTTCGAGGGATTACCATCCGGTGTCCAAAATGGTAGACAAGAATGAAAGTGTCAATGACACTGTAGCTCACCACAAAAAAGGACACAAATGAGTGAGTGAGGGGAAGTCAGTTTTAATTGAGCAACCACCGACGTACATTATAGAAACAAAGAGTATATATGGGAGAACTCCCATTATATACTCTTGATAATTATATGTGTAATTTTTTATGGGAAAATAATAAATAATATTATATATAAATAATAAATAATTTATAAACCAAAATGAATCACAATTTGTGACGGTAGATGGCGCTAGACCCGCTTTGATGTTTCTTAGCATAAACCATTATATCATAATAATAATAATATAATTATAATAGTATAAATCATAATGTTCATAGCAGGAATTTTGCATTAAAGATATTGTCAATGAAATCTTCTAAAACAAACCAGACGAATGTGACACCACAGACTGTTTAATATCTGCGTGTCTATATATATATATGCTATATAATTGCCAACCCCTACCTAATTTGCATAATTTTTTTTAAATCAAAACTCTTAGCCCTTATTCATTCACATACCAAAAATGAGCAAAATTCGTTGAACCTGAACTTGAACTGACTAATGACAATTCCCATTTTTGGCAAAAAAATTGCCGTGGCTCGATAGTACGTCGACTGGCGTGCTCCAAAATAGGACGTTCAATATAGGAGCATAGCAATAACAACTCTATGGTTCCTGAGTTATCGTTGACCGAAACCAAATGTTGACAGACAGACGGACGAATGTACGACGGACGACGACCAATGGCAATAGCTCAGCTTGACGATGTCAAGGTGAGCTAAAAAATGAAAGCAGAATATCTATCAGTCTTACGACCGGTTTGACGACCGGTAAGGGTGGTGGCAGAAGAGCTATAAAAAATTATATGCTCTCTAACCAAGACAACAGGAATTGGATTTAGCGTTAGCAACATCAAACCTGAATTCAAGGCTGGTCAGTTCTATGATGATCTAACAGAAGCGAAGGGAATCGAAGAGCTGAATGAACGCATGAAGTCAGAGGGTTCTGGACGTTTACACGAAATGCAAGAAGCAAACTTAGATAGGATGTTTCATTTCTTCTTTGCTAGGTTCAACGCTGATAGCAGAACACCAACCAAAACTCAATGGGAGCCCATCACCGGGTTCCTAAATGCCACGAGCTATGAGTTCGTGAACCAATCTAATTTCGCTACAGCTCTAGCCAAAAGTCCCATGACCTGGCTCTCTGTTATCACATTTGACACTAGAATAGATGGAAATGAGTTCTCCAGATATCAGCACCCTCTACTAATAACACCTAAAAGGTTCGCAAACGGCACCGCATCTGTAACTGGTATCATGTGTGCTGGCCAGTGCCTCAACTTGTTCATGTTACCAGATGATGCCATCAACCTAATATGTGAACTTACGAAGCCTGAGAGAGACAACAACTCTACGAGATGGGCTTGATGAACTACCAATGGATGAGCAAACCGTATACAAGCAAACTAGGTTGACATTCTGGCTGCTACACAACTTCCTTAAGGAAACTTTGGGCATAAATCATTGGACATCATAGAAGAAAACAAAATGCCACAGCACATCATTGCATTCTACAATCAATCATTGCATCAGCATCAGAAGCAGCAGCGCAGAGGATCAACAACAAGACCAGCTAAAGGACATCGTGCAAGTTTCATCTTCGTAACATCGTCGAGGGATTCAAGCCATTGTATTGTATTTATTTCATTGTGTTATTTATATGCATTGTAGTGTTTTGTATTTCAAGACCATTGTATTGTATTGTATATATTTCATTGTGTAATTTATATGCATTGTAGTGTTTTTGTATTTCAAGATGTAAGTGTGTGTGTGTGTGTGTGTGTGTGTGTGTGTGTGTGTGTGTGTGTGTGTGTGTGTGTGTGTGTGTGGAGACACATGTGGTGCTGGAGGACATCGTACAAGTTTCATCTTCGTAACATCGTCGAGGAACTCAAGACATTGTATTGTATTTATTTCATTGTGTTATTTATATGCATTGTAGTGTTTTGTATTTCAAGACCATTGTATTGTATTGTATTTATTTCATTGTGTAATTTAATGCATTGTATGTTTTTGTATTTCAAGATGTAAGTGGTGGTGTGTGTGTGTGTGTGTGTGTGTGTGTGTGTGTGTGTGTGTGTGTGTGTGTGTGTGTGTGTGTGTGTGTGTGGAGACACATGTGGTGCTGGAGACATCGCCAAGTTCCATCTTCCCGTAACATCGCTCGAGGAACTCAAGACATTGTATTGTAATTATTTCATTGTGTTATTTATATGCATTGTAGTGTTTTGTATTTCAAGACCATTGTATTGTATTGTATTTATTTCATTGTGTTATTTGTATGCATTGTAGTGTTTCGTATTTCAGGATATGTATGTATTGTATTTATTTCTAATTGTTGTTATTTATATTGCAATTGTAGTGTTTTTGTATTTCAGGATGTAAGTGTATAGTGTGTGTGTGTGTGTGTGTGTGTGTGTGTGTGTGTGTGTGTGTGTGTGTTTGTGAGTGTGGGGTGTGTTAGATATGGTGTGGTATGAAGTTAGTTAAAGAGAAATGGGAAAAGGGGCGATAATGTAACATGTGTTTTACAGATGTTTACATAAAGTAGTAAGTGTAGCTAGACTTGGCTGTAAATAGCCTGGGTTGTGTTAGGTGCAGTAGTGAGCATGTATGTTACAAAGAGTACTTTGCGTGTGCGATGTAGACACGCGTGTTAGTTTAGGAATATTAGTCTAGACAGGTGCAGATCGAGTGTAGACAGCTGGGTTGCAGGGAGTTTTGAAAGGACAAATAGCTAGGTAGTTGTGCGATTGGTTAGGGTTAGAGTTTGGACATGTTTGTAATTGGTGGTGTAGAGGATAGAAGTGAATAAGTCAGGTTGCTATAGATTATTCTGCTCGCTTGAGCATTATGACGTCAGAAGCGAGAAGAAACTTGCAGTTTAACAATTTCGCCAAGAGAGGGCGTATAAATCGGGCTGCCAAACAAAGCCATGATTGGGATAAGGACAACCCTAAAATTTCTGTTGCTAGATTAGTTGATATCAAGACAAGCCCAATGTTGTAAGTGTTGATATGATAACGATGGTATAATTGAAGTATTGATGAAAACTTTGAGACCGTTAATTTGTGATTTGATGCGTTGCAATGTGAGATATGAGTCAGATTGAGTCACGAATTGATGTCAGTAATAAGTAGGCCAAAAAGTTGTAGTACAGTTTGTACAGTAAACAATTGAAAGTGACTTCGTATGTTATAGTGGTTTAACTTGTTAATTATGTTGTTTTGTTAACTTATTAATTAACTTGTTATGTGTGCAGTGCAGCGGGTGTGTACTTTTTGTATTGTGCATATATTGATGTAGAAAGGTTTGAGGAAAAAACAAATGGAATAAGTAACTAGGGTAAATCATTTGATAGAGTCAAGAATATGGGCATCATATGCCGGTATGCTAATTTAAGTTGCATTAAGCACTGCATATTTATGCTCTGGAAGGGTCAAGGTGTATATGCATTTAAAATCGTTTATGTGTTAGGCTAACACATTTTTTAGTGTAACTGAGGATTTATGTGTATTTGTTGTTTTTTCTTGTTTAATTTCAGATTGAACCTTTTTCTATTCCGATATGGAGAGTGATTGAGCCTGCAAAGTTTGAGGCGTCAATAAAAGCATGAGATTGGTTACTATAATTTGGATCACTGCGTCAATCTTTCAGCAGAATTTATTGTGACTGTTAATACGCTACAACATAGTTCAATAACAATGCTTGAAGACAGCGTCAACACGAGCACCCCCGTCGCTGAAGAAGACGTCCGGGCTGAGGACTCGGTTAGCCAGAGTAACGGCAAGGCCAGTTCAAGCAACAGCTCGAGGACAATCAGAATCAAAGCGATGGCAAGAAAGGCAGCTCTCGAGGCTGAGGCAGCAGCCTTGGGGGAGCAACATAAGCTAGAACTAGATGAGATGAGGCTTAAACAAAGAAAGGCAGAACTAGTGCTGAGAACAAAGCTACGGATAGCAGAAGCAGAAGAGCAGGTGTATGAGCAGATGTCAGACTTACTCGACAAGTCGACAATTGAAAGATCTCCTGGACCGTGCCTTCCTGAAGATAGCAGAAGGTCTCAAGGTAAGATTGAACAAGCAACGCCAGAGGACACTGCACCGGAGCAGCTAGAGGACACTGTAACATACCCACCACAGGGTTCTACAGAGTCAGTGATGGTAGAGTTGTTGCACAGTACGAAGGAACAACATAGAAGCTTGATGGAAACACTGCAACTGCCAAAGGCAGAACTAAGCTACTATGCTGGTGAACCTCTCGGGTTTTGGGAATTTTGGAGAGCCTTTGAATCCAATGTTGACTCGGCGGGTGTCAGCCCAGCTGCCAAGCTTACCAGGCTTCTGCATTTTTGTACTGGAGAGGCCAGACGAGTCATCAAGGCCTGTTCAGTTATGGATCCAGCGGCAGGATACACCAGGGCGAAGCAACTCCTCAAGGAACGCTTTGGTAATAGTAACAGAGTGGCAGAAGCTTGGATTTCTAAGGTCACCAGAGGTCCTCCCATACCTGCTAATGAGCCTCGCCAGCTACGAGATATGGCTGATGAACTGAAGACATGCTATGAGACCCTGGTTGCCATGGATTACGCCAGAGAGCTGCAGCCTCAACGAGTCCTGCTGGACATTGTGGAACGTCTTCCACAATTCATACGGCACAGGTGGCTGAGAGTTGCAAGGGACAATCAGAGGAGGGGTCATCCTCCAGACATCAGGAACCTCGTTGACTTTGTTGAGGACATTGCAGAGGAACAGAATGATCCCGTCTTTGGACCAGCAGCATGGAGGAGCAAGACTCCGCCACAAAAGAAAATGACTGGGAATTATTCAACAGGGGTGAAGACAGAGAACTTAAACCAGAAGTGCTATCCCTGCAAGAACAGCGATCACAAGCTTTTTGCATGTCATAGTTTTAAGGACATGACCCCTGAATGCAGATTTGACTTTGCCAAGAAGGAAAGACTGTGCTTTAATTGCTTGAATAAGGGGCATATGACCAGAGACTGTAAACTCCAGAGGACTTGTTCAGTTGATGGTTGCAAGATGAAACACACCAAATTTCTGCATGTTCAACACCGGCAGCCGCGAAGAGAGAAGGAAGATGATTTACAGTCCTATCCTGATTCAAGTACACAGACGAGTGGGGAAGCAGTTTCTACGCAGAGCCATGTCACAGGGGCCGGGCAATTGAAGATTGCCATTCCAGTCATTCCGGTTACAGTGTACAATCCTGGAAGCAATTCTGCTGTGGATACATTTGCTATGTTAGATCCAGGATCCAGTAGTTCCTTCTGCACAGAGGAACTTGCCCGTAGACTGAATGTTGCTGGAAGGAAGCAGACGTTATCCTTGCCTACGTTGGAGTGTGCCAACAGTCAGTTACAGTGCAATGAGGTTAGTCTTAGAGTTCAAGGCAAGATGAAGACCGAGATGATTGACCTCCCTCGAGCTTACACCAAGGAATCGATTAACATCAATCCCGATGTCATCAGGAAAGAAGACATATCCAGATGGCCGCATCTGATAGACTTAGACATCCTAGACTCCTCTGGTTATAAGGTTCAATTGTTGATTGGTCAAGATGCTCCTGAGCACTAGTTCCGCTTGAGGTAAGACGAGGACAAGAGGGTCCTTATGCAGTGAGGACAAAGCTGGGATGGACATTGAATGGACCTGTTGGTTACAAGGTACTGGGTGTGCACACAGCTACGTCCAACTTCATCGGCAACAACATTAATCTTGATGAGCAAGTCGGCAAGTTCTGGCAGATAGAAGGAAGCAGCCTGTTGAATGACAACAAGAGCATGTCCCAGCAAGACAGAGCAGTGCTGAAGATGTGGGATGAAGAGGTCACCAAACAGGATGGACATTTCCAGCTACCAATTCCTTTCAGAGAAAGACCACCACTCTTTCCAAATAATATGTGGGTGGCAGAGCAACGCTTGCAGTCTTTGACTAAGAGGTTGGAGAAAGATGAGAAACTTTGCTCCAAATACAAACAAGGCATGGCAGATCTTCTAGAGAAAGGATATGCCGAGGTAGTGAGTGAGGGGAAGACCGATTCATCTGTGTGGTATCTGCCACACCAGCCGGTTGTAAGTCCTCAAAAGCCAGACAAAGTGCGAATTGTTTTCGATTGCGCTGCTACATTCCAAGGAAAGAGTTTGAACGACAGGGTGCTACAAGGGCCGGACCTCACAAACAGCTTGGTAGGGGTCTTGCTGAGATTTCGACAGCATCCAGTGGCTCTAATGGCAGACATCGAAGCAATGTTCAACCAAGTCAGAGTGCCACCAGAAGAGAGAGATGCTTTAAGATTTTTGTGGTGGCAAGACGAAGAGCTCCAAGAAAAGCTTGTGCTGCGGATGTGTGTCCACCTGTTCGGAGGAACATGGAGCCCTAGCTGCTGTTCATTTGCTTTACGGCAGACGGCAGAGAACATCCACGAAGATGACAAAACTGAAGCAGTCAGGACTATCCGGAGGAACTTCTATGTAGATGACTGCTTAGTATCTGTAGAGAACGAAGACGTTGCAGCAAAACTGTCATCAGACCTCATGAATCTGCTGAAGAGTGGCGGTTTTAGACTGACAAAATGGCTATCCAACAAGCCATCAGTATTGATGTCAATACCAGAGGATAAAAGGGCAAAGAAGGTAAAGGATTTGGACCTGACTCTGGATGCCTTACCTGTTGAGAGGGCTCTGGGGATGACATGGGATGTCCAGGAAGATAGCTTTGTCTACAGCTTCGTCAAGAAAGACAAACCGCCTACCAGACGAGGAGTACTGAGTGTCATATCCTCTGTGTTTGATCCTCTTGGGTATGCCAGCCCATTTGTAATTCGAGGAAAGATGATATTCCAGGAACTGACAAGACAGAAACTTGAATGGGATGACATGATTCCAGTAGCTCAGCTGGGAATGTGGAAACAGTGGCAGCAAGAACTCTCCCAGATGTCAACATTCCATGTGAAGAGATGCTTGAAACCAGTGGGCATGGAGAAAGTGGACTCGTATGAGCTCCATAACTTTGCTGACGCCTCAGAAAAGGCGTATGGCGCAGTTTCCTACCTGGTAGCAAAGGACAGTGGGCAAGCTCATAGTGCGTTGGTCATGGCAAAGTCACATCTTGCCCCATTGAAAAGAATGACAATCCCAAGACTTGAGTTGATGGCAGCGACGCTAGCAGTGAAGCATGATGCCATGCTGAGGAGAGAGTTAGAGTTCTCCATAGACAGGTCTGTCTTTTGGACGGACAGTACCATAGTCCTGGGCTACATAAAAGCAGTGGACAAGCGGTTCAAGACATTTGTAGCTAACCGGATTTCAACAATCCATGATGGCTCAACTCCGGAGCAATGGAGACATGTGAACACAAGCACTAACCCAGCAGATGACCTGACCCAAGGTTTGACAGTAGACCAGCTCGCTACTAGTCGCAGATGGGTAAAGGGACCCAGCTTTCTTACACAGCCAGAAGCATGCTGGCCAAGAGGTTCATCAGCAACGGAACCTGTGGATGAAAATGATCTAGAAGTTAAGCAGTCTGGGAAGGCGGCACACAACTTTGCAGCCCAACCAGACAGACGAAACAGGAAAGACTGAGGTGGTGGATACACCAGTGTTTGAAATAAGGCATGCCCGTACGCCCGAGGCCGACAACTTTGGCGCTGGGCCGACCAAAATTAAAAGTTCCACGCCCGACGGGCAGGCAACATTCGCCTCCAAAATAACTTACTTCGCCGCCTATTTGTGCTTTACTTTCCATGTTTAAAAACTATAATTATACACAGAGTTCTTAGGCTAGAAACTGACTTTGCTTCCACTAGCGTGATCTGTGTGATCCCGGCTTCGTATTGATTTTTGGAATAGACTGGCTACTTGAGCGTTTGCGGTTCACCAGTTTCTACTTAAGAAGTAACAGAGAACTAGTCTGCGTAGCAAGTGGCGGGAACACAGTAATTCTGACACCACCCTCCGCTGTATAATTGGCATTTAAACACAATAAGACGGATGTCTAAAGAGTTTAAGACCAGTCTAAAACCAGAGCCAGTTTATACCGGTTTTATCTGCTAAAACCAATCGAGCATGTCGATGTATAAATATCTACTGGGGTCGCAACCCACTAATAAGCGAAAGCTAGACACGAAAGCAGGTAATAAAATATACGATGAAACTAAGAGAGCACGCAAGGTTCAAGCGTCGTGGTACACTGAATTTCCATGGATGAGTGTTGTTTCCGACCAAAGTCATGAAAGTGTACACTGTGAAGTGTGTCGCACAATATACTCCCCACTAGCAAACCAGAAGAATCCGGACAAGTACAGAAAGTGGGCAACGGGGCCGTTTGTGACTGGTTCCCAGAACATAAAACATGACAGTTTGGTCAGTCACAGTCAGTCATTTGGACACACACATGCACAGGAGGTGCGTGACGCCAAAGCCTCCAAACCAGGGCAGTCACTAGCGGAGCAAGCGATCCAGTCACTTAACAAGAAAAACTTTGAGCGATTAGATAAACTCTTCCGAAATGCTCATGCACTAGCAATGAAATCAAAGCCAATCAGCGACTTTGAATGGCTGTGTCAGTTAGATGAAAAGAAAGGTGTAGACATCGGTTCAACCTATCGTTCCAGCTGTAAGACATTTCTTGTTGCGATATCTGAGGTAACGAGAAATGCAATAAAAGATGTTCTCAAGAACGCAAACCATATATCACTTATGAGCGATGGTTCCACCGACATTTCCGTTGTTGAAAACGAAATTGTTTATCTGCATATGTGTATTGCTGGTGTGACGTACTCATACTTTCTGGGGCTAATTGAATGTGAATCAGGAAATGCTACAGGCATTTACAATGCAATTATGAAGGCGTTGAACTTCGAGGGGTTGAGTAAAGAAGACATTCTTAAAAAGGTCGTAGCTTTCGTTGGTGATGGTGCCAGTGTAAATACTGGGGAATTAAATGGCGTAATCTCCATCTTTCGAAGAAATGTTTCTGAATCTATCATAATGATTAGGTGCATGTCGCATCGCGTGGAACTTGCATTCAAGGACGCCCTCAAATCATCCAATTTATTCCAAAAAGTACATGAACTGTTGGAACAGATTTTCAAGTTCTATCACAAATCTCCGAAGCAAACTTCTGGTCTGAAGGAGGCATTTGAAAGTCTGAAGCTGAGTGTTCATATGCCAACTCGCGTCGGCGGTACTCGGTGGGTAAGCCATACCCAAACAGCTCTGAGGAATATGCTCAGGTCCTACAAGGCCTTAATTCTACACTTAAGCCAGGTACATTGAAAATACAAATGCATAATTGCATATTATTTTATTCATGTAATTCCAAAATACAGTACAAAAAGCATAATAAAATGGATTGTTATTAAGTGGGTGTTTAGGATAAACCCAATCCATACCTGGTGGTAATTTCTATATAAAATATATAGTACTAATATTTACTAATAATAGTAATATACAATACAATATATAATATATAATACAGGTAAATGTATCACTCGCATACATAATACTATAGTACTACACAGGTGACGTATCACAGTATGAATATGATTGTCATAACTTTAATGGTTTTATACTATAGGTTGCCATTGTGAGAAGCCAGTCTGCAACACAGTCGAAGGCCAAGTTCCTGCTCAGCCGACTCCGCACCAAAGACGTAATGGTCTTCGCCCACTTCCTGGTTGATGTGCTGGTCATCTTGGTGCAGCTGTCGATGTGCTTACAGAAAAGAAAGTGTTGTATCCACGAAGTCCATCAAGAGTTGGAAGCTGCACTGACAAACATCAAGAAGTTGGAGACCAAGTATGCATTATTTAACAATAATAAAAATTATTAGCTGCTTTCATGCACTAATAAATAGTTAGAGAAGCTTACTTTTTCCGGTGGTGGTGTATTTTGCAGTCCTGGTTATGAACAGAGAATGATCCAAGCTGCACTCGAGGGAAATCAAGGCATGTTTGAGGGCGAAATTCTGACTGGAAATGCCAAAGATGTTGATGACCAGGTCACAAGGGTTGCCCAGCAGTTGAAGAAGAAACTGGAAAACAGGTTCACTGATGTTTCCCAGGGACTGCTCAGTGCCAGCAAGATAGCAGACCTTCATACCTGGCCACCTACTTATGATGAGGCTATTTGTATGTCAATTATTAATATTCAGATATGATATCCCATATTATTATTGTTGTCAGGAGACTCAGGACTCAGAACGATTTAAGGAACTTTATTAAAAATAATGAAATATTATATATTTTTGTTAACTGTTACACTTATTTTAATTTGCAGCCTTTGGTGATGACTTGGTGGCTTCTATCATAGATCATTATCGAGATCATCTACTCAGTCATCGTGTAGAAGTTGGGGCTGTGGAAGCCGAGTGGACAATTCTAAAGCAGGCGTTGTACGATACTGATAGTGATACTGATAGGTGTGTTTCTCAATTAGAAAAACTACTAGTTTAGCACCCACCGGTCATCATCTAACAATATTAACTATATTACTACATTATTTATTTTCTCTGAGTCTGATGCAAAAGACTTAAAGACATCACTTGTCATTTCTATTTCAGTTACAAAGTCCACACCATGTCGTGGGAAGATATAAACAATCGTTTGGGGGAAAGATGTCCCAACATCCTTCAGGTCATCGATCTGGTCCTGTCGTTACCGGCAGGGTCTTCGGAGTGTGAAAGAGGTTTTTCGCATATGAAGGTATATAGTATAGTCTACTCTAATTTCAGCAATTGGGACTTTCATTTCTAATTCTATTTATCTCTAGTGGATATACCAGACTAACTGCAACTATTATTTTATTAATTATTGTCAGGCCACAAAATCACAGTATCGCAACCGGATGAGGTCCACCACCATGACGATGCTACTGACCATCAAGATGCACTCGGCGGAAATCCAGAAATACGACCCAAGTTCAGCTATTCACCACTGGAACCAAAACCACCACAGGAGACCCAAATTCTTGGAGAAAAAGAGACATAATCCTAATCGCGATCTGGGGCAGGTATCGGCAGAGGTTGAGGATGAGGTTGAAGCAGAGGAGGAAGCCGAATCTGACTTCTCTGATATAGAGTACATCGGTCCCGGAGAAGATGCATAATCTTCTTAACACGTTCAACTTCAGTGCTAACCACGTCACCAGACGTGGCAACTTTTTTTGGGGGGGGGGAAATGTTCAACTTCTTTTTTTTGATAGATGGCAGTAGCTAAACATGCAGAAATTGAACTGGTATTGTCTATGCTGCGTTGTTATCCGGAAATAATACAAGATTCCTTATTTGCACACAGATCAAGCATTGTATTTGAATGTTTTATTAACTGAGGTGATTTATTTAAAAAAAAAAGTGTAACCTGTTTCATTTAAATAAATCTTTGTTTAAGAAAATCTTTGTTCTCAATCAATTATGTAAATCATAGTATTGAATCATACAAGATAAATACAATACATATGATACATTAGCAACTGTATATGAGCATTAGCACTAGTAATATACTTTATTTCACCTTAAACATGTTATTCAACCATTATGCAAAAAAATGCAGGGCCGGCCAATTTCTGGCAGGGCCGGCTAAATTGAAAAGTTGCCGGCCCTGTTGTCCGGCAAGGTTTTCCACGAATTCCGAACACTGCCCTCAGTGGTTCTTTTACGTCCACATTGGTTAGTATTTCTGGAGACGAGACCGCCATTTTACGTGGTCATCCGAGCCCGGGAGATTCACAGTCGTCCAATGTTGAGAGCCAGGTTTTTACACCTTGAGAAATTCACTGCCCCGACTAGGTTTGAACTCGCAGCATTCAGTGGACAGTGCATGATGCCTACCACTGGGCAAAGAGGCTCCTTGATATACGGAGTCTGTGCATGAGTTGATAATACACAGAAATCTGTGCATCACTTTGTGATCACCTAATCAGGCTAATGTCCCTAAAGTGGATTGCGCCCAGTATCAGTGCCTAGGCTAGCCGCACAATGATGGCCAGATTGGTTCAAGGATAGAGAACATGGGTCCAATAAACCAATGTATTTAC